CACACACACACACACACACACACACACACACAACACACACACACACACACACACACACACACACACACACACACACACCACACACACACACACACACACACACACACACACACACACACACACACACACACACACACACACACACACACACACAGGTGTCTCTCTGTTCCCTCTGAAGCCGTTTGAACTGAACCAATGAAGGTACAGAAGGTTACCTGCATGCTGAGCGGGTCGACCAGGTGAGCTGCGATGCTCATCTCGTACTCTGACAGCTTCACGTTCTTCACTCCGATCTGACGCATCAACTTCTCCGCCTGGAAACAACAACACAGAGTCAGTGGAGAATTCCTGTCTGTACTGTACTCAAGTACATGTCTCTGGTATCAGTACTTTACTCCACTACTTATTTTTCTGACAGCTTTTACTTTCTACTTCTTACATTTTCTACCTGCTCACCTGTCCCTAAGCCCCGCCCCCTGTCCCTAAGCCTGCCCCCTGCTCACCTGTCCATAAGCCCCGCCCCCTGTCCCTAAGCCCCGCCCCCTGACCTGTCCCTAAGCTCACCCCCTGCTCACCTGTCCCTAAGCCCCGCCCCCTGACCTGTCCCTAAGCCCGCCCCCTGCTCACCTGTCCCTAAGCCCCGCCCCTAAGCCCGCCCCCTGCTCACCTGTCCCTAAGCCGCCCCTGCACCCCTGTCCTTAAGCCCCACCCCCTGCTCACCTGTCCCTAAGCCCCGCCCCCTGCTCCCCTGTCCCTAAGCCCCGCCCCTGCTCACCTGCTTCTGCGCCTCCAGCTTCTGCTTCCTGGTGGGGTCGATGGCGTCCACCATCCACTTGATGGTGAAGTAGGTGACGGCTCCGAAGATGGTGAGGCGAAAGATGAGGCCCAGCACCTCGTTCCTGCCCAGAGGACGGGCGATGTTCTCCACCGGGACCTCCCCCAGGACCATGGTGGGGACACTGGGAGGACTTGGGAGTACTTGGGAGCACTGGGAGTACTGGGAGCACTGGGAGTACTGGGAGTAACACACCTGCAGAGAAACAACAACAAGGTCTCATGAAGTCACACAACGATTTATAACCAGTGTTATTCACTGGGGAGAGTATACTGGGAGGA